CTTTCCTAATTTAGTAACTTTCTGCGAAACCCTAGTTCTGACACCAATGTAGTGCTTCTCTTGTGGGTTCATAGATAAGCATGCCAGAAATTCAGTTAGGTGCTCATACCATAAGATCCCATGGAGTCACTGTCGCCAGGTTCCACATGCATGACTGGCTTATACTTCTCCTGCTTATCGGCATCGAAGTTGTATTGAATGTCATCGAACCCTTTCACCGTTTTGTTGGAGAGGATATGCTCACTGATCTCAGATACCCTCTCCAAGACAACACCGTTCCCTTCTGGGCTGTCCCGGTAAATAGTATTTGTGGATTCTCTGAAATTTATTTTGGACCTATTCTGATTCCTCTGTTCTTTATATGTGAACAGTTGATAGCAATTGTTCTCCCTTTTGTTGTCATTTCTGTTTACTACTTCATCAGAAGAGATGTTTATGACCTTCATCATGCAATCTTAGGTACCTCTTTCAGTGCTTTTTTTAATGTTTCAGATTCTTTGCAGCTCTTGATTTTTAAGGTGTGTTCAGGTCTTTTGTTCTCTGTGCTCATAACCGGTGTCATAACCGATGCTATTAAGGATGCAGTAGGTAGGCCTCGTCCTGACTTCTTTTGGCGTTGTTTCCCTGATGGTAGAGGGGTAAGCAAGCTCATCATTTCTCTTATAACACCCTGGATAGTATCTATCTACCTGATTGAATGGTTGTGATTCTTTATAAAAATTTGTAGTTCTTTCACAATGTCACAAGGAATGTTCTGTGTACTGGAGATAAAGATGTGGTCAAAGAAGGACACAAGAGCTTCCCCAGCGGCCACACCTCTTGTAAGTTGTTATTTTTGGAATTCTTGTGCACGTTGCAGATCCTAAGACTTAGTTATGTAACATTTGCAGGGTCGTTTGCTGGGCTAGGCTTTCTAGCGTTGTACTTGTCTGGGAAAATCAGAGTGTTTGACCAGAGAGGTCATGTAGCAAAGCTCTGCATTGTGTTCCTACCTTTACTAGTTGCAGCATTGGTTGGTGTATCCAGAGTTGATGACTATTGGCATCACTGGCAAGATGTGTTTGGTGGAGCTATCATAGGTTTGTTTATTTTTTTAAACTCATACATTACGTAGGGAAAAAAAAACTAATGGATCAGGACACATCTTTCTTGCAATGTACAGGATTAACGGTGTCCTCGTTTTGTTATCTGCAATTCTTTCCTCCTCCATATGATCCAGACGGTGTGTAACTTAAGAACCTTGTTTTCTTCAGATAATAAAACCACTTTAATTTTAGAAATAACCAACACTGATCTCTCTATGTATTGCTTTCAGGTTGGGGACCTCATGCATACTTCCAGATGCTGGCAGACTCCAGAAACGATGTCCAAAATTCTACAGGAATGAATCATCTAAGCGTGAGGCAAGCTGAGCTGGAGAATGTGTACGTTGATCAACAAGGGACTTCCATGGAACTGTCAAGAAGCAACACGTGGGACACACAAGAATGCTAGAGAGCCGTTAGTGTCTTTGTAGTCGTTATAAGTCTTTGGTGTGTGCTTTCTATTGAGTTTCTTGGGTTTAGCCTCTAACTAAAAGGCCATCACCTAAATTAGAGAGTAGAGAGCAAAGGGAGAGAGATAAAAACGCTAAAGGACGAGAGCTTGAAACATTGACTTGGTAGTAAACAGTCATGCTCTATAGCCAGCTTCTTGTTGACATTTTACAATTTAAAATCCTATAATCAAAACGAGAAGTTGGAGGATTGCAACCTGAATTATGAGTCTATGACTATTATAAACAAATATGTTACATATTCCGTCAATCATATAATACATATAAGTATTAATAAAAGTGATAAATAGTTTTTTTCTTTTCTCTTGTCCAGTGGCATTTGGCGCCTACATTGCATGTTATTTTCTTCCAAGGGTCATGCGAAAGGTTCGAGAGAGGCTCATGCGCCCCTTAAGAAATGACCCCAGGCCGTTTGGCCTTTTTCTCTCTTTGAGTATCCAATGATTGTTTTTTCTCTCTATATTTGATGGCCATATTAACGAGAAATAGTATAATATGAACCTGTTTATTTAAGCTTTTAATGACTTTGTCCAATGTGAGTTGTGTAGTCTACGTCTTGGGTTCCTCTCAAAAGTCATTCTTTTTCACTCCCCCCCCCCTTCTACTTTTACCTTTGTTGAATTATGCGAAATGACAAAATCTATACCACTTTGTTATACCTCTTCGGAAATTGTATAATTACGTATACTGATTTTGATTATCGTGTAGGAGTATTAGTTATCTGTCTACTTTGAGCTGCATATGGACTAGAAACTGAAAGCAATGGGTTTGGTGGAGAGTTGTAATTTCATCATTCTGGTATAATTATTGAAAAATATTTGGTAGAAAACCAATGAGTATAAATCAATACTAAGAAACTGTTGTCCTTCATCTTAAGAATATACTTTTCAGGTTTTTGATAGAGATGACTTTTTTTTTTGATCAAATGAAGTGTAGAGGTCATCTATGCCTAGTTATTAATTATTAATCTAAGTGTGTCATATTTATGCATGATTATGGCTCAAAGCAAGCCAGACTTCTGTCACTCACACACATGGGCCACCTACTAACAGGAGTGGTTTGTGCTGTATATGAGCATGTATAGTAACATTATTACATTTATGAAGTATGACTGAAAGTAAGAAGTTAATAGAGGACAAAAATGATACAAACAATGACGCAGAAAGTGGCGTTGTGATGATGTACGTAGTACAGTCTTATCTGAGCAGTGAGAGTTACCTTTTTGTCTATTAGTCACTAAAGAGTAAAGATGTTTGACTAAACTGAAAAAGTTTACGACACGATGAAATTTGAGACCCACCTCTGACTACACCATATGCACGTCTTCTCCTCTGTTTTGGTTTCTTGAATCTTTTTTATTGCTTTTTCAAAAATGTTAATGTGATTATAATTAGAGAGGCTATAAGACAAGAGTTTAGTTGATATACATTGAATTAAACTAGTAAATCTATTTTATGGATCAGCTCTGCGAATCGGTGGAAGACGGGGATAATGTGCATTGGACGATGAATGAGTGTATCCCAAATAGCACACAAAAACACGCACATGTGTGTACAATATCTAAGAGAACGTACGGCGCGCGACACCATGGTCAAATGAGGAAGGCCCATTTATTTGTCTGCTTAGACCATGTTCAATGGAGTATCCACGAGGGTTCTATGTATTAGTTCTAAATAATTATATGCTGAAAACTAAATAAAAAAGAAGAAAATTAGATAGATATGATTCTAAAAATAGAAGTTTTGGAACCACTTCTAAATAATAGGTGTCACTTTCTCATAGGGTAGTATTTTAAAGGAAAAAAAAGTTAAACCTAATTATTCTTGAAATTTAGAACTTTTAATTGGTTCCACCATTGGAGAAGTTAAAACTAAACAAGTATCTAAAATTTTTAATTAGATTATTTTTAATTAAAAAATTGATATAGAACTCTAACACCATATCTATTGTTGGAGATGGTCTTATAACCTAACATCTAAATTTATATTTATTGTTTTCTGCATTTTTTGTTTCTTGTTTTATATGCAATACTAATTTCCTTATAGCTACGAAAAAACGTATGTAGAAAAAAAAAAAGATAAGAGAGAATATGGTATAGAGTGAGTACTGAGGAAAAGAAGGAAGCTGCACAACACTCAAGGCCAAAGTCTATTCCACTAACTATCCATCTACGTGCCTTTCTACGCACTTTCCTGATAAGTATTTCACTAATTAATTAACCTACTCTCGTTATCTATACTAATTTCGAAGAAAGAAGCTTCTTCTCAAAAAGGATTTTAGGGAAAACATACCCAATAGGCTCGGAGATCAACAATATTTAGAGTTGTTCACATCCCCCCAAGTTTTTAAAAATAGACTGTTGCCCTTCAACATCCCTCTAAACTCCAACACATTGTGTCAATCACTTGAATATAATTGCTAATAAACAATCATAATACCTTTTTTATATATGGAAAAAAGGAGGGACATAACCTCCTTGACCCTTTATATAAGAGCCCCTCATCATTCCATCCTTTTCCACATTTCCTATTTATAACAATCTTCTTCTTCTTTAAGTTGTTGCTTTTGTATAACCAAGTCTTTTTCTTTTAGAGGTCAAACTATGATGTGTAGCCAAGAAGACGACGGTGGAAGCAAAGTTATGGAAGGAGTTTTATATATGAAACAATAACATTTGTGGATGGTTTGGAGAAAGATGGGGCTTTGCAATAGTCTACGCTCTTTCACAAGAAAAGAAAGTCTAGGGAGAGCGAGATTATTGCATTGCTTGCTTGTTGCTGGGGAATCGAAGTTTACTGGTCCGATTTTTTTTCATTAACCCGAAGAAAATCAATTTTATTATATATCTCTTTACTGTTATAGTAAGTTCGTGTGTGTGTGTGTGGTTCAATCTACGAAATTCTTATGTTATGAAATGAAGAGTACTGTTCAATTGTCCATGTCGCGACCATATAATTATATAACAAAACATAGGTTAAATGTTTACAAAAGTAGCAGCTTAATAACAAATGGATAATGTAATGTGTTGAATCTTAAGAAATCAAAATGTATTTAATTGTCTCCTCAATTCTGTTAACTCAACTAAAAAGATGTTTCAACTGTAAGACTGATGATAATACAAATTTATTGAACCATTCAATGGCCTGTGCAACTAGCACGTTTGTGCTATTTGTATATTCTCGATCAGAATTCTTAACGGTAAATTCTTCCTAACATTATCCTCTGTAAACTTTACTGCGGTCAAGTTTTATTGTTCTACTCGTTCTCTCCAATTGAGCTCTGTGTCAGTCATGCGCAACACTCAGAAGAGCAATCATTCCTATTTAGGACTACTCACGTTATTGGATCAAATAACTCTATTCATGCTATATAACGTAAAGGTTTATTTTTGCTATAACGTAACCTTTGCTTCCTTCATGACTCCATCAAAAGTTGTTTGCATGTTCAAGATTGCAACTCATGAAGTTATTGCTTGTTTGTTACTTTGTTATAATTACTTAAATCTTACTCAGTTGGACGATGTCGTTTCTTACCCATGCTTAACTGAATGATTTCTTTTAAAAAAAAATTAATTGAATGATTAATAAATTAAGTTTGTGTAAGAGAGTGAATTTCGTCTATTTTTATTGTTGTGGGCTTGTTGCTAGTCGTTTGTTAGATTGATGATGAGAAGATGCTAATTGTCCAAGATACTATCCTATGGTGCTATTTTATGTTTTTGAGTCCTTATTAAAACTTGGAAGGTCTAAATTAAAGTAAGTGCTGATCTGATATGATTCTGATTCCGGCTCCTCTAGGTTTTTGCATATCGATCATTAAACAATTTAAGATACATCAAACAGACTTTCTATACATTATGTTCAGATATGGTTACAAGTCCATGCGAAAAAAAAAACTCAAAAAAAAAAAAAAAGATCGAGAAAATAAGGGCGCGCGTGGTCTAATAGACCAGTCAGCCACTGTATAATTCCCCGACATTATCACATACATAAAAGAACAATTGAAGATGGGTGAATCACCGCCGTTGATCTCGAGCACACGCGTCAAATCAGTGGGTAGCAAAGCACGAGATCAAATCCCTCCCCACGCGCCGCTCCGTTTTAGAGACACAACCATCAGCGACCAAAGCAGATCTACAAAGAGGACATGTGAAATTCAGACAGTGAAGCCATCCCTCCAAGCACCGCTTGTGGAACACGTGTCGACACTCCAGCTTCCTCACCTCTTCTCCCTCCTGCAGCTTCGAAAGACACACGACGCAATCGGAAGAACCTCCTTCGCCTCCGAACCGGTACGAGAAGAGACGGTTCAGGCTCAGCTGATCGGCGAGGACGATGATGTTGGCGAGTCCCGAGGCGATGATTGAGGAGTCGTCGACGGGGAGATTGGAGTTGAAGGAAAGGTGGAGGAAAGAGCGGAGACGGCTGAGGAAGACGGCGAGGAGAGAGAGGAGCATGAGAGGGATTGAATCTGAAGAGACGTCACTGAGCTGACCTTGGAGCCCCATCTTCTTCTTCTTCTTTACTCTCTCTCTTTGTTTTCTCTTTGTTTATATAGCGGCGGTCTTTGCTTAACGGTTAAACTAATCAAACTCGTTCTTTAATTATTCTCTCTCTTGTTTTGTTCTAACACTAATCGCAAATATTTTAAAAGTTGTTTTTAGTATTTTACATTGCTACCATATACAACAAAATAAATGCTTTATAACACTACGTTCCAAACAAAAAAACCTTTATAACACTTCTATGAAATATTGATTCTTTTTAGTTTTTTTTTTTTTTTTGCTTAAACTTTGATTATTTTTAGTTTTGATACTCAGGAATACAAAATTTATACGAAAACTAATTATCGGATACATGTCAAAATCATTCTAAGTTTGTTTCCCAACAAATTCATTCTTACATCATCTTCAATACAATTCTATTTTCCAATTTAAATAAAATTTGGAAAATGATCTAATTCATTTTTACTCTATAATAGGATAAAATGATATTTATTTCATAAATAGGATGATAAATTTATTTTTTCACTTCAAAATAAAATAGATTTGAATATATTTATTTCCATTATATAGTTACATTGTTTTGAAAAAATGGAGTTATAGAAATACGTTTAGTTCTAACAGTGTTTTAATCGATACAAATATTTTCTTGTAACTTTAAAAAAAAATTGTATACACTCAATACAAACAGTTTTTCATATTATCGTTTTCTTACCACCTGATGATTGTGTAATTAAATTAAACTGTTAGTTATAAATTTATAATACCAAATATTTTATACATGTGATCTGGTATGTACAAGTTTTTATACAAACCAACGGCATAGAAAATGTTATTTTCTCTCTTCGACCTTTTTACTGTAAGTTTTTAATAGTGTGAGTTTCTGTAACAATCTTAAAACTATTTCAGGTAATTAATTAGTTGAATGATAATAGATAGACATAGTACTTGACATTTACTTGTTAGCTTCTTAACTATTTTAAAACGATACTAATTTTCGTGATAGGAGATGGCTGAATGTAACTTTTGGGACCAACTTTTTTTTTAAATGATACTTTTGATTAAGAACAAATTGTTGAACTAATAAAGATTTTGCACGATCCTCGCTAACTTGTTGTCTCCCCACCTTCAGTATTTTATACGTTTTGGAACCTCAATAATCATATCAATTCTACGTTTTCTATCTTATAAAAATATATTCCATTCAAGAACCAGAAAACCAACATCAGACTTTTTCAAAAACAGATGAAATTTACGACTATATAATACTTGTAAACTGGTCAGGATGCACTTTTAAGCTAAGATACAACTTTTTATTATATACTACTTGAAAATAGTGAATCTGATGATTTTATAATAGATATTTCCAAGTTTTAAGTATTAAACAGTCAAACTAAAAGTGTGGATTAATCACAGCTAAGAATGTTGATTTTATCAAAGGTTTGTAACAGGTAAGAAGGTTTATAAAATTAGTGTAAAGTGCTTGAATAGACCATTTTTAATTTTATAATTAATGAAACTCAAAACAAAAACATGTTCATATTGAAGGAAACTTAAAAACAAGAGTGAAGGATAAGTACCATTACTCATATAAGAAATATATAATTATAAGTTTAGGTTAATTTATTTTATAAATAAAGAAAAGAAAGTGGTAGAAAAGAAGTATATGTTTTCGCCGTCCAAAAGATCTGCGGAATCCACCGACTGATAAAATAGGGCACAAGTTGGGATTAAGAAACTTGATTAACACACTAATTAGGCAATGAACAAAACCATATCATTGATGTAACAGATGATAACGAAATGCTATGCAGTTAAACCAAAAAAATAAGAAACTCCAAAAAGGGAAGGCTTAAAAGCAACCGACGAAAATGATGTATTGTCTTGTATATCATGATTAGCAATGGTTTAATTAATCGGTGACTACTAACTTCAGTTAGATGAACATTGTGTGGTGACAAAACATTGTAATAATAAAGTAATAATATACACAAAAGCATCTCTCGTTTTTCATATTTGGAGAAGAGGCAGGTAATGTTAGAGGCCATTCATTTCAAGCATGATGTGGCCGAAGGGAAACCATACAAGTTTAACGAATAATGGTGCATGGAGAGGCAAGTCGCAGTCATAGCTGAAGCAATCAGACCAATCTGAATTGAATCATACTTGGGCCTAACACACCAACAATATGGGCTTGATCGATTCTGTTTTGTATTACTACTTCATGGCCCAATTCGTTATCAGTTATTATCACATTGTCCGGAAGAAGAATAAGTGAAAGTGAAAGTGAAAGGGCTCCTTTCTCAGTCTTCTAGTGAATTAGTTACATTTTTGCTGTTCATCGTTGGTTGGTCCTTCCAAAAATTGCTAAGTGACAATAATGTATGCCGTGTTACATAAATTTGATTGATTTTTAAACACTTTTTAAAAACTTGGTATGGTATGGACGGCTACCGTTGTGCATGGATGTTAACGATATACTTGCACCAAAAAACATGTTTACAATATACGTCCACCGATAAGCACAAGCTATTCTTATATATGGTCGCAACTTATTCCTTTTTTAAAAAACGGTTACTAATTCTACATTATTTTCTTGTAAACATTTTTGTGAATTTTGGGTGAATCTTTTTCTTTATTTAAATTTTTTGTTATAGTTTATGAATTATAAAAGGATATTTTAGGTTCCAGAAAATGCCACTTTACCAAATTAATAGATAAAAGGAAAGAAAAGGGATCACGTGCATGATAGGTAGATCTAACAAGAGGTAATTGGTGGTTAATGTAGCATTTTGAAGCATGAAGCATCGATGGACGTATCTTCTGACCTGAAAGCATGAAGTTAGAGCATATGTCATTGGTGGCGTTGCAAGACATTAGTGGCAATCATTTTATACCATATAGTGGATTTGTTAGTAGTACTTTTGACACCTTGAATTGTAGTGATCACTGGCTTACAAGTGAGTGAAAATTTTCAAGTTTGACCCCCATTCTGCAAGAGAGTTAAAATCTTTGATTTCAGTTACAGTTCTCGTAACTTTTCTGAACTATATTAAAGAATAGCAAACAGAAAAATATCTAACTCTAGGGGTTGGTTGTATTAATATCAATTAGGACAAGCATGTGGTGGATCAGTCATATGCATAGAATAGAAACCATAATTAAAGTCGTTCGGACAGATGAGAAACAAGAATGGACCACTACTCTTGATGCTTGTCTTCATATGCTAACACTTATACTTGAGACTGACTATTTTGAGGTTGTCCTTCCTCGCATCATTTCTAGATGTAGACCACACTTCCCTCTCCCTCTCCCGCATTTTTACCACATTTACATGAGATTAGCTAGTTCTTCTTGAGTTTACTAGTATAACTCTTGGTGAAAAACAATTACTCAAAATTTCACTTCTTACATATGGTGTGTATGCACTTTATTACGAAACCATTATCACACTATTATTGGTGTCAATCGATTTTTGGTATTATGTAGTGATAATAATATAGACTATATTGTTTTAGAGCTGTAATGATTTTTATCAGGGTAATCATTAGTACCTAAATGATTTCGAATATCTTCAAGTTGATATTCCTAAATCCTAATTCTTCTAGCTCATCATTTACTTTGACCCTTATCATTATTATCTCTCTCAAGCTGCTCTTCTATTAATTTACTCGTGACTTAACCCTCATTTTGATTCCATGAAATCCATCTTAATTATGACAGCTTCTTTTTGTTACTACTATTATTTAGTTATTATTACTAATGAAAAGGTTTTTCAAAAGTAAAGAAAAGAGGGGAAATGTTGTGGGAAGTGACCACAAGTGGTGTCTCCATCTGCATGGTCTTTTATAGGAATGAGCTGTTTATCTTTGTTTCTATTCACAATTAATTTTCCTTGGTGCCTTTTTTATTTTGTATCCTCATTTATGTGAGCCTAATGAAGAAGGCAGATGAATTATTTAAAGGCTTCACTTATGTACATTTGTACGTTCATGTAAGTATGTATGGTAAGAGTTATGGTGACGAATTTGAGCATAAGGACATGTCTATATCAACTGCACTTGTTTAATTCTCTCTTAAATTTCTCGTCATTGAATAAAAAGAAATGACCATATACTAATTAGGGTTATTATTCTCCCTTGTACTTTTGGGAATATCTGTCAAATCAATTACTTAAATAAGAATTATTGATATATATTTCGCAAATGATGTGTGTGTTTATGTATTGTGGTTGCAATGAAAACGATCACATGAGAGTTATTGCATTTATACATAATTCCAAAACCATAAATATTGGTTTTAGTTTCTCTCTCAAACCACTATAATAACCCGAGTTAAGTATTGCATATCATATATTCAGGTCATATGATTATTTTTGTATGGATGACAACTGGATGTTTTGGCGTATTAAGTTATCATGTTATTTTATTTGATGAAATAATACGGTTTTGAATTTTTGTTCTGCTGAATTCGGTTAATTCATAAATAAAATAGTATAAAGTTAAAAAACTATTTATAATGTGGGGTTTGGTAATAAAAAAAAACTGAATTAAAGGACGAACGTGAGGGGTAAAATAGGAATTAAATTTGAATTAAGACCGACCAAATGCGGGATGATATAAAACATTGTTTAGAAGAGTGTTCTTATTATTACCTCTCCTCTGATATTATAGACAAAACAACATTATAATAAAATCGAAGAAGAAGAAGAAGGGGTGATTCAGGGGAAATCGTTTTCAGATCGTGAAGCTGAAACAGAGTAACATATCTCTTCCTCTGTTTTGACCTTGCCTCATCATCATCGTCAAGCTTCTTACTTCGTCAGGCTACTCCCATTCAAATCAACCTCATCTATTTTTACCGACCTTAGGGTTCTTCTTCAGGTATCTTCCTCTGTTTTTTTTTCTTTGTATTTTCTGCTTTTTTTTTTGTTACTTTGATCATATGATTGATGAGGCAGCTTTTTACCTCTGCAAAGACAGAACCTTTTAATGACTCTCTGCTTGTACTTTGTACCTTCCTCTCTGCCTTTTTCTCTTCTCACTCTTTTCACCTTTTTTTTGTAATCTTTTTTCCTTTCTCTGTATTTTTTTTTTTGACAAGGTGGTTGGTTGGTTGATTAGCCATGGAACACAATGGCTACACAAAGGAAACAAGGAAAGAACATTTTGGGAGAATGAATGGTGTTGAGAGTGAGCTTGATCCATGGACTGCATGGGCTTACAAGCCTCGCACTATCTCCCTTCTCCTTATTGGCGCTTGTCTTCTCATGTCAGTCATCTCATCTCCTGTTTCATTCTCCTTTGTGCCATTTTCTTTTAATCCTCTTTTTTTTTTTTGAATTGAGTTAGTTGGGCAAGTGGAGCTCTTGATCCTGAGAGCACTACTTCTCATGATATTGTCACATCTGTTAAAAGGTTTTCTCTTTCTCTCTCTCTTTTTTTTTTTAATTCTCATTTGAATACGTTACTTAGTCCTACTATGTTTGTTTTCTAGGGGAGTGTGGGCTATGATTGCTGTTTTTCTTGCTTACTCTCTGCTCCAAGCTCCTTCAACGTAATCACCTCACCTTCCTTCTCTTGCTTGGTCTTGTACTGCTTTGGCTTTAAGCAAGTTGTTTTGCTTTTATACAGGGTTCTAATCAGGCCACATCCTGCAATCTGGCGCTTAGTTCATGGAATGGCCGTTATTTATTTGGTTTCACTTACTTTTTTGCTCTTCCAGGTTCCTCTCTCTCTCTCTCTCTCTCTCTCTCTCTCTCTCTCTATTCAGTACCCTTTGTCCTATGCCAGTGATCATAGTAGCTCTTGTGTGTTCTTGATTTTAGTGAGCAAACTCTAACAGTTACAAACTTCTTCCTCTTTTAGAGACGTGATGATGCTAGGCAGTTCATGAAGTTTCTCCACCCTGACCTTGGAATCGGTATGAGTTTCAGAGAGTGGCTTGCTTTATATATGAGTGACCATTCTTATTTGAGTTTGCTCACATTTCAGAACTTCCTGAGAGATCATACGGTGCTGATTGCCGTATTTATGTAGCTGATCACCCAACAAACAGGTTTAAAAATCTTTATGTATGGTATCTTCTCTCAAACAACCACCCTTTATTTTTTTTTAACAAATTGTCTTGGCATATGCTTCTCATATTGGTTGGCATAAACTTCATATTTATCTATAGGCTTATGCAACTTTTCACAGGACACAGTATTTGACGAGTTTTTCTTGGCTCACATATTTGGATGGTGGGGAAAAGCAATTCTGATCAGGAATCAGCCGCTTCTGTGGGTGCTTTCTATTGGTTTTGAGTTATTGGAGGTTAGTTCCCTTCTGTGTTTACAGGTTTCAAGTTGATAAGCTTCCCTTATGTCACCACAAATAATATGTATGCTTATGTTTCTCCAGCTTACTTTTCGGCACATGTTACCAAATTTCAACGAGTGCTGGTGGGACAGTATTGTCCTTGATATCTTGATATGCAACTGGTTTGGTATGATTCTTAAGCCACCTTGGTCTCATGCTTCTAAGATGTTATGTAGAGAGCTGAGTAACGTTTTATATTGTTTTATAATGATGGTAGGTATCTGGGCAGGGATGCATACTGTACGCTACTTTGATGGAAAAACATACGAGTGGGTTGGCATTAGCCGCCAACCTAACATTATTGGCAAAGTAAGGTTTTGCTCAACCTCAAGAGTGCATACAACAGTTTTACACTTGTTGAGATGTTTGAATTTTTTATTTCAGGTGAAAAGGACACTAGGGCAGTTCACACCAGCTCATTGGGATAAAGACGAGTGGCATCCTCTGCAGGGACCTTGGCGTTTTGTTCAAGTACTCACTCTTTGCATCATCTTCTTAACAGTGGAGCTGAACACATTCTTTCTCAAGTTTAGCCTGTGGATCCCTCCTCGAAACCCAGTGATTCTCTATAGGCTGATCTTGTGGTGGCTCATAGCGATACCAACAATACGGGAATACAATTCATATCTACAAGACAGGTATAGCTGTTAGCCACTATGATTGTGTTAGTTAAAATAAGGTTTGATATATGTAACTGGTTGTTTTGGTTGTTGACAGGAAACCTGTGAAAAAGGTAGGATCATTCTGTTGGTTATCAACAGGGATATGCATAGTAGAACTTCTCATCTGCATCAAGTTTGGAACTGGTAAGTTGGTTCTTATTTACTTATGGTTACTTAGTGTGGAGAGTGTAAATTTAGTTGTTGTGGTGTGGTACAAAAACAGGATTATACCCAACAGAAATGCCATTGTGGGTAGTTACACTCTGGGGAAGTGTGGGACTTGGACTTGTGGCCTTCTTGCTGGGTTGGACATGGAAGATCCAGAAGACGCTCGAGAGAAAGAGACGCTAAGCTCATCACAGCAGAGGGGAGACAGTGAAAATGCTATTGTAGGTTTTGGTTATTTGTAAATAGGGAGAAGAAAACAATGTAAATGCAATTTTCTTTTAGAGATAGTTGTGTGATATTTAACATTACAGAGCTTCCAATCAATTCTTTCAAATTACTTTTCATTATATTTGTTCTCTTGTACTCAAAACTAAACATGTTTAACAAATTAACATCATTAATGTTGACTTGGTTACCCTACTCACACTTTTTGTTATGGTAGACAATGATGTCATTATTAACCCTTAAAGGTAAAACACCAATGTGTTCTTCTGCTTTTAAGATACCTTTTTTTTCTGTTTTGCTGTCAATTTTTACATGGCATTTACAACATTATTAATGCTATTGTCATTGAAGATATTTGCTGCCATCAACATGATGCACTAGAAGTACAATTTTAATATGCTATTCAAAGTTGTACATAACATACCTATACAACGACATTCATTGTACATTGACATATATAGATTACCAACAGTGTCAGACTGTCTGAGATAAATGCAATCAAGCCTCTTATCTCCCTATTATTCTGTATTATCATCATTCAATCAACATTTTATTTAATTTTGTTAAGAAAATGAAAAAAACAAGAATCAAATTGATAATGGTGGATAAATATTAGATTGTGTGACGTTCAGTCCAACATCTCACATGTCCTTTGGAGACAATATTGACCAACGTTTCATCACACTTTTTCCAACATCATATTTTTATTTTATTACAACTTCCTTAAAAGCCAAAAAGATGCTGTCAGAAGAATCTTATAAAAATATGCCGTCCGTTCTAGGGAATCTTGGGAGGTGGTTCTACTCCCGTCTCGAATCTTTAATGGGCTTTATTCTTATCGAGTATTAATGGGCCTTCAGTTTCTAATATCAAAGGCCCAAAAACCTGTCTGGAAAACGCAGTGAAATGAATCTAGAGAAAGACTGACTTCAACAAACAACAAGTTCTGTAGGGTTCCTCCGTGTCTCGATCTGCTCTCCCTCCCAACCAGGTTACGTCGCTAATCCCTTTTCGAATTCAGTGGATCTTATTGATGACATGTTATCGTTCCACCGCAAACGAATCGGTTCGAAGTTTTCTGACATTCAATCTCATCTCTGTCTTGCAGTTTGCTGCTTTCGATTTGACTTTCCGACATGTAAGCTCATACCTTAAGCTCGAAGCCCTTCTTTTATCTTTATCACTAGTCTCCAATCTCTAGTTCTCTATCGTGATCGGTCTATGAGATTGTCTCTGAATCTCTCTACTGGAATTTTTAAATTGTGCTCTATCGTTATCGGTCCATCAGATGTAGCGTAGTTTTTTAGGCCATTACTCAGTAGCATTTCGCATAAATAATCGGATATATCCATTTTTTGTGGCTTATGATTTTTACATCTTATGAGTTATGACCAAAGCTTGTAAGAATGACCTTTTGTCATGTCTCAATCGAAAAGAAGATTCTTGTTGCTATCACACGGGTGTAATTATTGGGATGATGTGAGTTGTTTTTTTTTCTTTCGTTTTTGATAATTTCAGGGCAGATGATGAAGTTGTTGATCCAAAGAAGTATCTTGAGGAATCTTGCAAACCAAAATGTGTAAAGCCACTACTCGAGTATCAGGTAAACTGACCAGGAAACTGTTGTTTATGAATCATGTAATGAGTTTGACATAGTGCCATGTGTGTGTGATCGTTGTTGGCTGATATAGAAGTCTTTTCTTTTTCTTTTGTGGTCTCAGGCGTGTGTGAAGAGAATCCAAGGTGATGAATCTGGCCACAAGCATTGCACTGGGCAATACTTTGACTACTGGCATTGCATTGACAAATGTGTAAGTAGTTAAATTTTTCCTTTGCTTTTTTCACATCATCTTCTTTTACACTATGCATATACTGAGATGAAAACTGGATTTTGGATCTTCAGGTTGCACCAAAGCTGTTTTCGAAACTAAAATGATTACCAAGCAAATGTGGAGACGATGTTGTCTTGAGTCTGCTTCTTGTGGTTTAAAGGGATGTATAAAACGCAGTGGATGTTGAACTTTTTTTCATAACTGCAAATCTAAATGTGTCAAATGTCTCTGCTCCTCGGTTTTGTTTCTATCGCAATTTGCGGTTACTATACCAGACATTGTTATTGTGCTACTTAATCTCATGCCTAATAACTACAAGAACATGCCTGTCTTTCAACAAATATTAGGCTTCTAGTGTCAATAAAGATAGACCATAAGGATTAGTCAAGACTCAAAACGCGACTTCCAGTTCTACCAATAACGACAATATAATACAATATGAATTATATATGCAAAATGTGATTTACACAACTTCCATCCATCATATCGTCTCTACTCGTTACTTTGAATTGAGAATTCAAAGAATTCGAGTCACTTTCAAGCAAAATTCAATTTCATTAAAAAATATATAGATGAAGATAACATCACTGTTTATTGCTTTCCAAGGTAGCACTCACTGCCTGTAGTATCCACCGCCTTGGGGAGGAGGCGGGTACGGGTTCTGAGCAGGATAAGGGGGTCGAGGCTGCTGTCCCTGGGGATCGTAGTATGGGCCTTGTTGCCATGATTGATATTGCTGCTGCGGAGCCTGGGGAGGGTATGGTTGTGGTGGGGCCTGACTATGAGGTGTGTGGTATGGCGGAGGTGGACCATAGGGTGGGATATTGTAGCCAGGTCGTGGTTGTTGCTCGGGCGGCCTATAGTAAGGTGCTTGTGGGTGAGGATGAGATGGGTTCTGAGTTTCTGGTGGAGGCGGCGAACTTGAAGCCGTTCGCTGATGCACAGATGGGTATGGACCGGAGGTTCTATGATCCTGAAAACTCAGACCAGACATCTGTCGTTGCACATCTTCAATCATTTCTCGGCACTGGATGCTCCTTGTCATCACAAAATCACTGCACTGCTGCTTCACATTCGTGATTGCATCCTGTTAAGCCAACAAAGACAATGGAGTGTATAAGTGAAATAATCCAATTTGAAGAGCATCCAAGAAAAATGTTGCAGTGAAGAGCTTGCAACTATATAAAGAAAAGAAACTCACTTGAAGAGTGACATAGAACTTCAAGCCCTCATTGACATTCTCCTTGATCTCTCGGTACTTGGCAATAGCCGCTTGAATCTGCTTGTAGCACTTCTCCTTTGATGCTGAAGAATAAGGACGCACATAAACCATTAAGTGGGAGTAAAATATATGAGCATAAAAAATTCCATTTATTTGAAGTTAGAATGTAAAACGGTTTGTATCATGGATTGCACTTGAACCAACATATAGAATACTAAACACAAACTACTTTGTACCATCATAGTTAATAGAATATTTATAGAGTTCATGCAAGACAGAAGCTGCTTGCTCACCTTTATAATCTTCAAGATTGAAAAGAGTTGAGAACTCTTCATTTTGAGCCTATAACCAAGAAAAGAAACTATCATGAGTAGTCAGTTTCTACTAGCAGTAAAACATGATCATTTCACTCCAGTAGAAGCTAGCACACTAAATATTCTGTGACAGTGAATGCCATCACCATACGTTCTTTGGTTATCACAAAACGGACCAAAACCATAGTGAAAAGTAAAGTGCTGCTAGAAGAATGGACAAAAGAGGTAGACCTGAATTTGCATTAATAATTGTTCTTGTAGTTCAATGTTTTGCGAAATATCTTGACAGATGTGATCATACTTTGATATCTCTTTCCTGAACATATCTTCATAGGAGCCGGTTGACGTCATCAGCTTTGGCAGTATGTCATCCTACAAAATATTAGGTAAAAACCTAATGAGTCTTTGACTCCAGTATCAAAGAATAACCAAAAAGAAAATAAAATCAATAAACTTTTCACTTTTCTTTTCATCTCTTTGAGCATGTCCTCAAGACCAGCCCGCTGAGCGCCTAAATTCTCCAGTTGCCTCTGTGCAAAAGGAAACAAACCTGTTAGAATATTGATTCGTGAAAGTATATGCTCGCAGCTTCCAAAAGAACTAGGGAATACCAGACTCTGCTTCAGATTTCCTACTATAGAATCCTCTGTTGCATCCAGCGACATCATGGGTCTAGCCAGAGTTGGGACAGCAGCTTCTATCTGATGATCAAAATAGAAAACCACAACATCTAAGAATCAGTATCCCATATTTGAGTGTGCCATTCCCGAAAGTGTGTGATTTGAATAACATCAAGATATCAAGTACTAGGATAGCTAAAAAGAAGAACAATAAGAAACAACTTCCGGTAGCATTTTGAGCCTCAACAAGAGAAATAAACCAGCATGTACAAAAAATAGGAAGTACATACCGGTCGTCGATCAAGAATTGACATGAGGGCAGAATTCTCTCTCACGGATCGCTCAATCTTCACATCACTTTCCCCAGCTTGTTTCAAATTGGCTGCAAACCGATTTAATCTATCTTGCAAATTCTTTGTCAGCGTGCTAGAGTGAGGCCTAGTCCACCGTGTCCCAAATTGGCTTCTGAACTGAGCGTCTTCAGTTGCTTCTTTCTGCAAAAGCTCTTCGGTTTGCACCAACAGTTCCTGATTAACCCTCTTCAGATCTCTCAGCTGCTGAAGTTCAGCATCCAAGCCAACTGGACCGCCACTGATCTGAACAGCCTCTACATCATCTTTAAGATCAGCAGGAAGAGTCGAATTACCATCCACAGCAAGAATAGAATCTGGAAGATCCATCTCTCTGAGCCTAACTCGAGTTAGCTCGCTTGCCTGCTGTAATCTCTCCGCCTGAGTCCTAATTACATCATCAACCATCTCAGTGTATCTAGAGAGAGCCTTGGCACTGCTGTCCGGAACAAGGATGGCAAACAACTTCTCCTTGCTTGCATCCAATATCTCAGTCATGTTCATCGGCTTAACCATTGAGAAACTAGGAAGTGGAGGCAAAGAAGCAGGAGAAGGAACTCTCATGAGATACACTCTGTCGTTTTCCTTGACAGCTCTCTCCAAATTGCAATTAATGTTCGTTTCTAATTTGTTCAAGGCTTCTACAAGCTGTGCAGGAGCTCCCCTCGAAGACTTCTTTGCTTCAGCCAAACGGCTAGCTCCGCTCCTCAGCCGAGCTATCTCTTCCGCAATCTCCTCTTTCTCGTGCAACTCCATTCCATACCTATAACAAGCTTCACCGTAGAACAGTGCTGCTTTCATCTGCACATGAGAAATCCAGCCTTTCTCAAAATGATCCTTCAGTGGTGAAACGATTAAAGCAGCCAAAGCTTCCTCGTAGTAAATGCCAGCCTGAATACAAACAAACAAGAAGTGCAAATTAGTTCTACCATATCACACCAACTATGGTTGTAAACATCAGTCTAGGCGAAACGATCTTCATAGAATCCAATTTATAGTACTAAATCAGTCTTGGTTTAAATCTATCTAAATCAGTCTAAATC